AGCTATGCACAAGTGCATGTCGTACCATATATACATGACATACACAGATATACACACTACACTTACATTACATTGCATCACATCACATAACATACATGACAAACATACATACATACATACATACATACATACATACATACCTACGTAATACATACATACGTTAGGCACAATGCAAACACGCACTCCGTGCACTTAGTAGGTGTAGATTTCAAGAACTCAAGGCTTGACATGGGTTCTCCAAATCCGCAAATATAGAAACGGTAATTTGACGATGCGTCCCAAACAGCCGGATTCTGCTAGTCAGAGTCTACTACACTGGCTGCTTTTTGCACCGCATCCAATTAAGTCTGCTTCTTAGGAAGTTAAGGTGTTTAAGCTGTCCTGGACGTCCACTCCATCTGCGACAGCCACACAGGACTAGATTGAGTGAACAAGCTGCTTGGTCCTTATCGCAATCCCACACAAGCCTGCGCTCTCGCAACGAAGGGCCACCTCCCAGAAGCTGGCCTTTGAAAAGCAAGGAGCCTTTCGAAGAATTGCTCGATGGTTGGAAGTTTCGTGCAGAGCTCCGAGTCACGGAAGCAAAAGTAGTTGTCACGGTCTTCGTTGTTGTCACGGCAATGAGAGTGGCAAGCGGAAATCACGTGTACACTGGAGTACTTGTGGGACAGTCGAAGGTGTCGCAAGTTTTTGTTCAATCGTGCGCCTGTGTTTGTGGCCAAGGTTCTCAAAGTGTTCTTCGACGAGACAGGGTGGCAGGGTGGAAGTGAGCCATCCCATTGCAAGAGGGGTGAACAGTGCAACGAGACCGATGCCACAAACTATCTGAAACCCAGCACCATCTGGCACTGAAAGAAGTGACAGCAATGTTTTGGAAGACCTCGCTGAACACAATCGCCGCATGTCATGCAATGTCTGCAAGCAGGAGAAACGGAGACGCAGGCAACCATGAGCAGTCACGCATGTGCACATCACTGATTGATACGCTTTCGCAGACCGTCTCAAGAAGAGAAAGAACCGGAAGAACCTGCCAGAAGTCTCGAACTGGAGGACCGAACTTCTGTTGTGGAGTCTCTTGCTATGTTTCAGTGGAATGCCAAACAAACAAACCTTTCTCCGTTTGTGACAAATGGCGGGTCCTATTTGCCACATCTCCACAGACAGTTGGGGACTGCAAAAATCTGCCGTGGGGTTTGCAAAGCTCTCGGCCCTCTCTGGCGAGCCATTCCCGACGTTTTTACTTGTGCCCACAAGGGTGGGGAGTACTTTGCGGAGGTGCTGCGGTAGCTATTCACACGACCTACAGTAATCCTGAAGCAAACGCACAAACCAATACATGCCGCCTTAGAGCCTTAGATTTCAGGCACCTCCGACCTCCATAATCCTCCATTCATGGGCAATGATGTCGAAACTAGCTCCATGCTGCGGCAGAAAAAGAAAAGGCACTGATGGGACCGGCAACGAGCGTTGTGACTGTGCCATGGAAATCAACGAGAGACAAAAAAACAGCAAGGCTGCAAACATAACGTTGCAACAGCAGTTGTCGAGACAGTTTCACGACAGCAAGTTAGCTTAAACGCGAAAACATCTGCTGCCTGCCACAGCTCCCTGCACGGTCATGGCGCATCGAACGGCAGAAAGGCGCACGTGCCATGTACATGATGCTAATTCTAGCCCGAGTGGCTCAGAGAGCCCACGCTCAAGGCTCGAGGCGTGGATCGAGCCCGTGCACGTGTTCCGTCCATTGGGGGAAGCTCCAAGCGGCTTCCACGACGTGCGGCGAAGGCCATGCTTCATCTGCGAAGGTCTCCCGGGTCTAAGTCTCTGATGTCTGAGGTTTGCAAATTAGTTGATGCCCTGCAAGGTATAGATACATAGTCTTCTGTCCAGCGAGAGTGGCCCTGCATGTTGCATGCTTGCGATCTGCTGGTAACATGACGGGCTGCTCGTTGTTGCAAACCTTGCATAAGATAATCCACAAGTGGCACGTTAGAAGTGATCATCATCGGCACTCGATTACCTCTGAATCGAGGTTGACGGTATTTTCGCTGACCTTCCCTACTTCTCAGCTGCGCTACCCTGCTACTGCCACTGCCTGGAATCATCAAACTCTGACGATGCATGTATATTACATACATGCC